TAGCCAGATTTGATCCTATGACAATTCTTTCTGAAAGCTAGATCTTCTATCTATTCTCCAGGTGGTGATTTTAGTGATTACTATCAATAGCAGCAGGAAATGAGAGTAAAGAATAACCATAGAAACATTATTTCATTATTTTATATTTACACCATCCATATAAAAACCTGAAAAAGTCTGGGGAAAAACAGCCGACCTTTCTACCCAATGCTTAATGAGGGTTTGAGCCAATTTTATATATACCTGAAAGCAAAGAAACCCCCAGTTGAACCAGAGGTATTGTTCTAAAGAAATGAGAAGCCCTAGGATTCAAAGAACCCTCAGATAAACACACAAGAAAGCAAACAAGCGAACTCAAAAAGCCCTTCCAAAAGTCAAACGAAAACATACTTTCTCTGGTGTGAGGGCTACTGAGTTTTCTAAAATCCATTCTGGCTCTAGCCTAAAAGTATTACAAAGGCTCCAGAATGGCAGCAGAGCTTGACAGTATCTCTGAAGTGCTATTTAGAAATGTCTTTAGCTTTATAATACAAAGTACAAGTGAGATTGTAACTTAATTCTGCAAGGCCTTAGCTGCACCTCCTCCTGCCATTTTCAGTTTAAACTCTTGTCCAGTTTTAGCCTCCAGAACAGGGGTAGCAACTATAATTTCTCATTTCCATGATGAAGGGAGAGCACAAAAATATGGGAGAGGGGAAGGAAAGAGAATTGTTTCACTGTGCTGTTTTCTCTCTGCCGTCTCCCTGCATTTCTGTTGTGGATGATCTGGGCTCATTGCATCTCCTTTCTTCCTTTGGATGCCTGACCTATGGCTAGGTCTCTAGTCACCAGCCAAGTAAGGAGAGATGCACCATGGGAAGAAAGAAGACTTTCAAATGGATTCTTTTGATTGTTTTAAAAAAATGAAATTTGTTTGGTTGTTTAATAGTGTGTGAAATATTAACAATGCTATTTTCTAACTGACTGACACCATTTTCCTATCCCACTTTATTTTTATTTATGTTTTTAAAAGTTTCTTTCTTCCTTTCATGAGAGAGAGAGAGATAAAAAGAGTGAGAGAGAAAAAGACAAGCAACCTCAACAGGGTCTCATGCCTTGATCTGTGCTCCCACCCTAGTCTTTCCCAGCCAGCTGGGATCATGGGTACATTTTGTGCACAAACAGTCAACCCAGGAACCAAACCTCAATCTCCCATATGGCTTCCAGCATTGCAGAGCACTGCACTACCACTGCAGTAACAGGACTGGGCCTCCATTTTAAATTTGTATTCCCCCAAATATAATTACTTATCCTCTCACCACCATAAAACTTCATAGTTAACAGTTGAGGGAATTTTTGCTCCATTAACAAAGTGTATTGTGCATGTGCATACAAGAGAGAGAATCCTCTGGAAGGGCCTACAATCTTTTTTCTCCATTTTTTTTTCTTTTTTGGAGAGGTTTTTCACTATAGGGCGCGTACGCTCACCAGACAGACAGAGAGAGACATAGAGACAGAAAGCGAGAAATCACCCCCCAGGGGGGATGGTCACACCGCAATCCCTTCTCCTCCATTCTCCTCTCGGGATCTTGGGCACACACGCACATGCACCCGGCGTGAGTTTTAAGCCACCGGGTCCGGGACACGAACCGCGGTCGACTACATGGGAGTCGAGCGACATAGCCATTATGCTAACTGCTGGTTCCCATTTTTCTCCATTTTTCACCAAGTTATAATCCTGTACTTTTGAAGCTCTGGGATTTGCACTGCAGGTTGGATATGTGGGATCTGGCTCCTTCTCATTATGTTATGAGACAATCCTGAGAGAAGTTATTTTTATTTTTAAATTATTTAATTTTGTCTATTCTTATTATTTTAATTTGCTATAGGGCACATACACTTATTAGAGAGAAAAAGAGGGAAAATGAGAAAGCTAGTTGCCAGGTCCAGAACTTGAGCCACAGTCGGCTAAGTGGGTATCCAGCGCCTTAACCACTCTATGATATTCTGGCCCTGAAGGAAGTTATTTAAAGTTTCAATATTAATAACTCTCCTTTCCGGACCTAAGAAGATTCTAGCAGTTTCAAAGGTAAGACAAAGGCAAAAGAAGCAATACTGGACTCAGTTTTGACAGGGTTTCTGAACTTGACTTTCTCACTTTCAAGTGACAAAGAACAGAAAGTTTGGGGAAAATGGTGTCCCAGTTTAGACCTTTCTGAAAATTTGTTTTGAGGCCATTTTTCTTCCTTCTCTCCAGGTCATAAGAGCTGGCTGGTTGCCTTGACGAGAAGGGCTGGGAACCAAGTTTATGGACAGCTACAAAGTTCACTATAGTTAAGGTGGAAATGGGTGGATGAGGAGTTTGTGAACACAAATGAGGCGGAAGTGAGAGTGTCCACCAAAACTGTTCAGGTCCCCACAGAAGAAATCGTACCACTTATGGGTGGTTCGGTAGCAAGAGTTAGGAGAAGGGCATAACGTCACGTAAGTGAACAGATGATGAACTTACAGTGCTGTGTGAGATCCCACGCTCTACCACTAGTAGCTACATTGATCCTGGGTAAATTACTGAACCTTCCTGGGCTTTAGTGTTCACATCTTTTTTTTTTTTTTTTTTTTTTAATTTTCTTTCTTTTTTTTTTTTGGAGAGATTTTTGCTATAGGGCACGTGCGCTCGCCAGACAGACAGAGAGAGACATAGAGACAGAAAGCGAGAAATCACCCCCCAGGGGGATGGTCACGCCGCAATCCCTTCTCCTCCATTCTCCTCTCGGGATCTTGGGCACACACGCACACATGCCCGGTGTGACTTTTAAGCCACCGGGTCCGGGACGCGAACCGTGGTCGACTACGTGGGAGTCCAGCGACATAGCCATTACGCTAACTGCTGGTTCCCAGTGTTCACATCTTAAAATGGGGGATAATATGAGACCTATTGCAATTCTTACAAGTTTATATATATATAAATATATATATATATATATATATATACACACACACACACACATATATATACATATGTGTATATATAAATAAATTTTTTTGTGGCGGGGGGGTTTTGGTTTTGGGGGGCTGCACCCCCCCGAGGATTCTCCATTCTCCTCTTGGGATCTTGGGCACTCATGCACACGTGCCCAGCATGAGTTTAAGCCACTGGGTCCGGGACTCAAACCACGGTAGACTATATGGGAGTCCAGAGACATAGTTATTACACTGACTGCTGGTCCCCTTATGAGTTAATATTTATAAACTACTTAGAACAGTACCTGACATAAAGTAAGGGCTGTGTAAGAGGACTTCCAAAAGTTCACTAAAAAAATTAAATTAAAGTTGAAGTTTATTCTGGTGCAAAAGATACTTTGAAATCCACATATAATTTTTTTTTCACAGTGTGTTTTCCGTAAACTTTTGGAAGACTGTGTGTGTACATATATTTATATATACGTACATACATATGTGGGTATGGGTGTATATTCATCAAATAAAATGAGAAGTGGGATGAGCATGAAGAAGGCAGTCCTGTGGGTAATGTTCTCCAGAACATTATCCCTCTTATCCCTCTTCTCCTGTGCTCTGGTGCTCTCTTACACTCGCTCACACACACCCACTCACATACCCTCACCCCGTGGAGCCACGGTAGCAGGGCATTGGCCTGGGAGAGGGAAGTGCCATCATTACCGACGTCAGTGAAGTGATCAGTTAGTTCATCTATAAACCTCACACTCATGGCCTCTGCAAGCTCTAAGTTGCTGTGCTGAAAATAGAGATCGCGAAAGGCCTGTCCTAGCCAGCACCAAACTAAGGGAGCATCTGTCTCACAGCGGGCATGGGGACAGTGGCCAAGGGCATGGCTTGTGGTGATCTGTCAGAGTCGAGTTCATGTCTAGGGGTGACTTGTGAGTACTGTAACCAAACTGCAGGCCCAGCTCACCTCACCATCTGCCTTGTACCAGGACTCGGGTGGCCTCCCTGCCAGTGTGACAGGTGGAGAAGGATGAACAGAAGGAAGGGGCAAGCCAGGAGAAACTAAAAGACATAGACTGAGTCATAGGGTGCATGGCAGGGACCACACCAACCCCAGTTTTACAGGAAAATAAAATTGAAACTTAGGAGTATCAAACAGAGAAGATTAAGTCTATAAGGCCTGATGCTTCTAAAATGTACTGGATGAGGGGATTATTAAGAAAAAGAATGCAGGATTTAGGTGCAAAATGCCCCTGACCACTGCAATACCACCCGGCAGGAGGAGAATGTGATGGAGGGAAAGGCTGCACTGGAAAGAGAGAGGAGTTTCAACTTATTGTGGTTGAAATATTTTACTTATTCAAATGTTACCAAAGGACATGGGATTGCATTGCTGTATCTCCTCATGGGGGCTGGAGAGGGATTTGAAAAGGGTTGTGTGAATAGGGGGCACTGAAGCTTTAGCTTCGTGGTGAATTGGCTGGTGCAATTAGCTGAAGGTCCACAGCTGCCAGCAGGCAGTGATGACTAGGATCTATGAGCATGGGCTGGTGGAGAAGGAAGGTGAAGGGAGAGAAAAAAGGCAGAGAATGCGTAAACCAACGTTCAGTAATGGACAAAGACTTCTGGGAGCCCATCAGCTATTTCCTGAGAGTGAGAGAATGCCAGAAATGGGGTCAGAGAAGTTCACAGGAGAGTCTGTGTGGAGCATGAGTCAAGTTTCAGAGGCCTCAGCTTAGCAGCCTTCCCCCCAGCTCCCCGGAAACCACTGGCGAGGTCTGGTTATCCAACCCTGTGTATTCAGTCCTGTGGTGTGAGACGGCAGAGAGGATGGTGCACACAGTGTGAAGGCTCCTTCTTAGGCTGGGCCTGCTTGCCTTTAGCTGACACCTGGCCTCAATCACAACACCTCTTTCTACAGGAAAGTCTTTTTGCATGTGGTACTGTGCAATGCTGAACAGAAAGTGAGTAAAACCCACCAAGTCCCCGGCCTGGGCTTGCGGTGCTCAGACTCATCAGGAGAATTCTAGCACCTTACAAAGCTAAAACGTTCTTACCAGAGAGCAGGAAGGCCAACGTGAAGAGCATGCTGCTCAGTCCCATGGTGCTGGAGGCAAAAAAAGAAAGACAAAACTGAATTAGTAAATGAAACTGAAAACAAATGCTCACCAACACATGGGTGTGGCAGAGAGTGCTATCTGTTGATCAAAGTCATTTTCTTTTCCTCTTAGCTTCACAAACAAGTCATATTTCCCAGCCTCTTCTGCAATTAGGCAGGCCAAGTGACTAGGTTCCAACCAATGGAATTGTGGGCAAAAAAGATGGATGCTATTTGCAGACTTAGCCACTAAGTTCTCCTCCCTTTTTTCTCTCTCTCTTGCCTTTGTAGATGCAGAAGATCCAGAGGAAAAGTCCAAGGGCCTACAAGATGGCAAAGTCTCATTATGGAGGGGAACTGATTTGCTGAAAAAAAGTTAGTAAAGCAGCTCTCTCCACCCTTCCTCCACAACTAACCCACACTGGATTGTGACATTAGCCAAAAATAAACTTTTATAGTATTAAGTTAATGAAGTTTGGGGATTATTTATTACAGGGGCTAGCACTGCTTCTGTTGACCCTCACAAAGAGGGTGAAGGGCAACGGAGAGTATTTACAGGTAGAAACCAACCTTCCTTTGTTTTCCCTGTGGTTTTCAGACTTCAGTGTGCGTGAAAATCACATGGAGAGCATGTAAATCTGTTTCCTAGGCCTTGTCCACAGAGTGATTTACTTGGCTGTGATGAAGCTCATGAATTTTCATGTCTAACAAAGGGGGACGCTACTGGTACAGGAACTGAACTCTGAGAACCACTGTACTAGAGAACACACTTAATTCACGTGATAGAGCCAAGGATGAGGGCAAGCATTGCTTTATAAACTCTTTCTTTCTTCTTCTTCCCTTGCTCCTTCCCTCTCCATCCACCCACTTACCTCAACTGAGACCCAAATGGATGAAATGTAGCCTATAGGGAAGCATGGAATAAGGAAGGCTGCCCATTAGAAAGAGATGAAAAAGCAAACCCAGTACAGGAATATAAAAAAAGAGTGAGGAAAAAAGCTAATGCTAAATGTTTATCATAGAAATGTGCCCAGCTTAGTTATTTATTCATTTATTTTTAGAGAGATTTTTGCTAAAGTGTGTGTGTACTTGCTGGAGAGACAAAGAGAGACAGACAGAGATAGAAAGCAAGAAATTATCCCCCAGGGAGGATGGCCACACCACAATTCCTTCTCCTCCATTCTCCTCTCAGGATTTTGGGCATGTATGCATACATACCCAGTGTGGAGTTTTAAGCCATTGGGTCTGGGACTCAAACAGCAGTTGACTACATGGGAATCTAATGACATAATTGTTACACCATCTCCTGGTCCCTTATTTATGTATTTATTTTTTTGAGCCGAGCCTCAAAATTTATTTATTTTTTTGCAGTCTTTCTGGCTGAAATTTGTTTAATTATTTAATTTTTTTTATATTTAAAAAACTTACATTTAGTTGCTCTACATCTTTATAGTGTACAAAATAATTTTTACCAGCATGAATGCAGTGTATATCAATCAAGTCAAAGATATTACCATATATATTATCATCTACAGGTAATTTTTTATTCATGTGTCATTAAATGTTTTATCTCCCCAATCTGCCCCAATCTGCTCCCAGCTTTTTTTATTATTTATTTATTTATTTATTTAGAGAGTTTTGCAATAGAGTGCATGTACTCACTGGAGAGATGGAGAGAGAAAGTGAGAAATAATTCCCCAAGGGGATGGCCACAACACAATCTCTTCTCCATTCTCCTCTTGGGATTTTGGGCGCGCACACACACACATGCCTAGTGTGAGTTTCAAGCCACCAGGTCTGAGACTTGGCTATGTGGGAGTCCAGTACCTTAACCACTATACCATCTGCTGGCCCCACTCCCAGTTTTTTTAAAAATCTTTTTTTTTTTAATTCATAATTGAATGCACAAGAGTTGGGGGGCACTTTCTATAGGTCTAGTCACCCTACAATTCATTTTCTCCAGTTCTCCTGCCTGTCAGGTATCAGGCATTCACACATGTGCCCAGTATGTTTCAGGCCAATGAGGATGGAATTCAAGCCATGGTCATCAACCGGGATCTGCTTTCCTTGAGCAGGATATTACTGTTGCCCCACAGAGCAGGCCCAACTTACAGCCAATGTGAGAAAGAAAAATCCAATTAGTGAACTAATTTACAGATCTGTTGGCAAAAACAAACCAATACTCAGGTGAAGGTGCACAATTATTCTTGATCCCATAGCAGAAATTTTTTCCTTGCAATCTAGTTTATTTAGAACTATTCCTAATCTCTTGAAGTAGGCAAGATATCCTTCCTCTTTGCTCTGATAACACTCAGTCCAGGGCATTGTTTTATTTCTTCTCTCCTAGACTATACATTTTAAAAGTTTTATTTACTTATTACGTGAGTGAGAGGTAGAGTGTAAGAAAGAGATTGAAGACTCCCAACAGAGTCTACCCCCTAGCTTTAGCCAGCTCAGATCCTGGTATATTCAGGAATGATTCTGGACTTGAACTGGCAACCTTCCCATGTGAGTCTGCCTCCCAGAGTGCTGTATTTTACCACTGCACTACTGTCCAGCCTCTAATCTAAATTTTTAAATGAATTTTTTGAAAAGCTCATACCTGTACATAGTCAAAGGTATTAACAGTGGAAAGCAAGTCTCTCTCCCAATCCTGTCCCTAGCTGAATAGTGTTCCTTCATAAATGTAACTAGAGTGACCATTGTTACCTATTGTTCATCTCTGGCTTTTACCTGGAATTATTTTAGGCAAAGCAAAATAAAAAACATAGACTCATATTGTATCTTGGTTTTATTTTTCAAAATAAATGGGAGTATGCTATATGCAGTTTTGTACAATTACCATCACTTTGAAGATGGCTCTGAATTAGCATGTTGAATATCCTCATTCTAAAATGTGCCTATTATTCTATTATCTTCTGTTGGATGGCATTAATTTATTTTACCAACTCCTACTAATGGACATTCAGGTTATTTCTAATCTTCTGTTGCAGTGAAATACTTTCATTATATCCATATCATGTTTGTGGGAATGGACTGTGTTTCTACAAGTAAAATTGCTTGAACAGAGTCAAAGGGTAATTGCAGTTTAGTTTTCACAGATATTGAAAAATTTCCCCTAAGGGAACCAGTAGTTAGTGTAATGGCTATGTCGCTGGACTCCCACATAGTCGACCGCGGTTCGTGTCCCGGACCCGGTGGCTTAAAACTCACGCCGGGCGCGTGTGCGTGCGTGCCCAAGATCCTGAGAGGAGAATGGAGGAGAAGGGGTTGCGGCGTGACCATCCCCCCTGGGGGGTGATTTCTCGCTTTCTGTCTCTATGTCTCTCTCTGTCTGTCTGGCGAGCGCACGCGCCCTACAGTGAAAATCTCTCAAAAAAAAAAAAAAATCTCCCCTAAGTCATTTTTATGTTCCTATCAGCAAATCATGAGTGTGCTTATTTTCAGTCTCTTTTTGTCAAAATAGTATGTTTTCTGATTTGTGATCTTTATCAATATAGAAGGTTAAAATGTCATCTCATAATTTTAAAAATGAAAGATTCACAACATAATATTCTTTTTTGAAGATGATGAATAAGATTAATATCCTTGATTTGATTATAATGCATTGTATGTATGCTTTGAAAAAACCATGTATTTTGCAAAGATGTACAATGAAATGTAAATGAGGAATCATTTAAAAATAAAATGATAACAATTTTAAAAGCTTTAGTTGTGGTAAAATACACGTAATACAAAATTTACCATCTTCATCATTTTTCAGTGAACAGTGGTATGTACATTCACATTGCTGGGTAATCATCTCTACATCTATCTCTACAGTTCTTTTCATCTCACAAAACTTAAATTCTGTACCCATTAAACAATACCTCCCCATTTTCTCTTCTCCCAGTCTCTGGAAACATCTACTATTCCACCTTTTGTCTCCATAAATTTGACTACTTTAGTCAAATTTTGGTATAAATGGGATCATAAAGTATCTGTCTTTTTGTGACTAACTCGTTTCACTCAGCACAGTGTGTTCAAGTTTCATCCATATTGTAGCATGTGACAGAATTTTCTTCCTTTTTTTTCTTCCTTCCTTGAATGGTGTCAGATCAGGCCCAGCAGATGATGCCCGAACTCTGCAACCTGTAGAGATCACTAGAAAGGAAGGAGACGGCAATTGGGAACCAACCATGCAGTTCATGTTGAGCAACTTCTCATCAAAAAGTGCTTGAAAAAGCAACTTGAGTTGCTTCCACCTTACGGCTATTGTGAATAATGCTATTGTGAACATGGATGTGCAGATCTCTCTTCAAGACCCTATTTTCACTTCTTTTGGTTATGTACCCAGAAGTGGAATTGTGGATCATATAGAAATTCTAATTTTAAACTCCCACCTAATGGAAGAATTGCATTGTTTGCAAGCCAAAAATTCGAACACTTGACCTAACCAAAGATTTTTTTTTTCCTGGGATGACATATTGAACAGGGATGCAAAATCAATTTTTATTTTGCCATACATTTAAAAAATCACCTTTAATTCCGATAATTACATGAAATCAGTATGGTCCTGAGGATTCTTGGGCAAATGGTCCTGTAATTCACACAGTGTGGAGGAGCACTGACAAAGAAGTCAATACCAATTTTGACTTCTCTGTTTGGAAACTCTCCTCCCTTGTGTTAAGAGCTGCCTTTCTGTAACTTCCTCTTATGGATACTTGTTTTGTCCTCTGAAACCACCCAGAACAAACCTAACATACTTCTGCATAAGCCTTCCAAGATTTGGGGACAGCAATTGCATTTCTCCTCAAACTCCTGAAATAGTCTTTTTCTCTCTTTTCTTTCTTACTTTCTTTCTTTCTCCCTTTCTTTTTCTTTCTTCCTTTCTTTCTTTCTCTTTCTTTCTTTCTTTCTTTCTTCCTTTCTCTTTCTTTCTTTCTTTCTTTTTCTTTTTCTTTCTTTCTTAGAGATTTTTGCTATAGAGCACATGTACTTGCTGAAGAGGCAGAGAGACAGAAAGTGAA